GAGAGAGGAGCTGGGAGCAGGAGCCATGGAAAAGTGCTGCTTAGTGGCTTGTTCATGGTGACTGGCTCAGCCTGTTTTCTTGTGAACCTAGGACCACAAGCCTGAGGTGATGCTACCTACAAAGGTCTGGGCCCTTCCGCATCACTCAGAAAATGCCCTATGGGCTTGCCTACATCCTGCTTCTATGGAGGCAGTGTCTCAGCTGAGGCTCTTTCCGCTCCAATGACTGTAGCTTGTATCAAGTTGACAGAAAAGTAGCCAGCACAAGGCCCTTACCTCCTTCTACCTCAAAAACTCAGGAATTCCCTTGTCACAGGTGTAGAAAGCAAGGTCTGTGGAGGCCTAGGAGTATGCTGTGGAGAGCCCTGAACTTGAGTCTAGGTTTTCATACCTCATGTGGGCTGCACATCTATGTCTCCTTTACCAGCAGCGCCATCCGAGGTGTGCGGTGGTGGGCTCATCTCTACTTCACAAGACTCAGCAAGACTAGACCACCTGAACCCTTAGGAAGGGGCAAGTTCTCTGTGCTTGGGAGGAAGAGCCTTGCCACCCAGTGAGGGCTCACTCGTTCTGACAAGCTTTGAGCCTCTGGCTCCTTTATCTCAGGTTCCAAATGGTTTCCAGGGTGGCCCCTCCTCGCGGGGCTGTGTGCCAGGCAGGCCATCTGCTTCTGGGGCCTGCTGCCCCTCCCACAGCCACTGCCTTCCCCCTGAACGCCAGGCTTCCGTCTGGCTGCAGCCGTAGGGAAGTTCCAGGGGAAAGATCTATGCGGCCTCTTCTGCAACCTAAATTTTGTTGCTGTGGGTCCTGCCTTGTCTGCACAAACAGCTCTGCTGATGCTCAGCTATGGTCCTTTGTTGAGGATATGGGATGCCAGGGGAGGCGGGACGGCCCTGGACCGCTTCCCTTGGCACCTGTTCAGGGCTTGGCTGCATCAGCTCCCTGACAAGCATCCTCCTGGCTCCTGGCACCATGATGCACAGCAGCCCCGAGAGCTTAGCACAGAAGTCATATCAGGTCACCACCCTGCTTGGTACCATTTCTCGTAGAGAAGCTTCCCAGCTCCCCCTTGTTGCCCACACCTTGGAGCCCCTCCTTTCTCCGTCAGCACCACCAAGCAATGCCTGGATGCTGTTAGGCATCCTTCCTGTGCCTGAATTTCATGCACCTGTCCCTGTAATCGGAGCGCTCTCATCAGGCCTGGGCTTTGCTTCTCAGATACTTTGTCCTAGGCCTTCCTTCGAAGGCCAGTCCACTGAAACCAAGTAGGGCTCTCCTGCCTGTTCCCTCATATGTATGTCCCCTTTTTGCTGAGCATCTTTCCTGCTCGGCTAAGAAGCTGTGTGCAGCCTGGGGCAGTGTTGTGCTTTTATCTCAGAGTCTCCCGGGTCTGGCTTTAATAAGCTTCCATACCTCTGGGCCATATTAGGTACAATGGTGACTTCTGTCTATCCCTGCTGAGGGTCAGAGTAGTCCGAGGACTTTCCTAGGGTCACCAATGGTTACCAACAATCAAACCAAGCTTGAGATGTGACCAAATGTCTAAATAGGGTGTTCACAAGAGGCAGAGTCCAGCATGTAGAGCCAGGGAATTTATGGGAGCTACAAGAATTTGTGGGTGGAGTTAAAGGCATGTAGGGTACCTTAGAACAACGGCATCACCCAAGAGTTCCCTCCTATTGGGAATGACAACCTCATGGAAGCTGCACCATGGTGTCCCCCCTTCAGCTAACCTTCTACCTCTGGGCTCTGGCACCTCCTGAGACCACGTGTAGCCAGGGCAGCATCATATGCGGCTGTGTGGGCATAGCAGGAAGATTCTAGGCTCTTATGTGAGGGTCTGATGGCCCTTCTTCCACTCCTCCTCTGAGGAAATGGTCACAGGCCTGATCTTATGAGGGCGTCTGTCAGGTAATGACAACTTCTCTGACTTCTGTATAGCACCAGTCTTGTGGGCCCAGAGAGCATTGCTTCCTGCACTGGGCTGCCCTTCCTCCCAGAGAGCATTGCTCCGTGGCACTGGGCTGCCCTTCCTCCCAGAGAGCATTGCTCAGCAGCACTGGATTGCTCTGTCACAGATCCCTTCATGCAGAAGTTTGATCCCAATGCTCTGTGAAACCCCAAGGGAGAAGCTTGTGAGTGGCGGCAGCTTCCAGGGGTGACTGTGGATGTGCCGCTAACAATCCTGGAGCTGGGGGCTGGTCCTTCACTTTAAATGACCACATAAGAGTAGGACCATGGACGGAGACATAAAACCACTGGGCTTAGCGAGACATACAGAGGGAGTTCTAGGGACAGTCGCAGGCATGTATGTAGAGGAGCAGTACCCCAGGAAAGCCAGATGGCAGGGGGCCACAGGCCCTACTTTATCTTGTGTTCTAAACCTGAGACTGCCATGAAAGAGGAATCCAGGCCAGGTATACTGGAGGAGTTCTCTTGCAAGGTGTCAGGTCCTACACCGCTGCCTTGGGCACTGGCATCACAGTTGGGAAGATCACAGTAGAAAGGCAGGCAGGGCCTCTGTGCCCAGAAGTGACAAATAGTGATGGCAAGCACTGGAGGGAGTCCCTTGAGTCTGAGACCTCAGAGCGGAGGAAGCTGAGAGGTGAAGATGGCAGGCAAGCAGGAAGACTCAGCAGGTGCAGTGGTGTAGGTGTGGACGCATATGGAAGGCGGCCCTCAGGCCAGCTCAAACCTGTTTGGGAGAGGGAGCTGTGGGTATCTTTTGAACTGAGTGTCTAGGGACATCCATTAATAGCTGAACACCAGCTGTGGGGAGTGCAGTTACACTAAGGAGATGGTCAGGCAGGAGGCTTTCCCAGCTAAGCATGCCCTGGTAACATGCCCTGACTGGCATGTCGGGGAACCTGAAGGAAGCTAAAGCTAAATGCTCCTGAGAGTAAAGGAGAGGAGGAAGGTGGTGCTTCTGAGAGTTTGTTCTGTCATGAAGAAGATCTCTGAAGACCCAACAAACATATAAAATGTATGCATGGTGTGTGTATGTGTGTGTGTGTGTCTGTGTGTCTGCTGACTTGTCAAAATGGGTTCCATGCAGATCTGAGACCTGGAGCTACGAATAGCCCACTTTATGTAACAGAGTAAAGCTTGCCCACCAGATGAGTCCCCACTGGGACTGCGGTGGAGTGGACAGGTACAGAGAAGTTGTTGACCCTGCTCCCATTACGGACAGCCACGCAGTCAATTTCTTCCCAGGAGGTGACAGCAGTAAGCCCCTGAAAGCTGCGTGCCTTTGTGGACAGAAGCCATGGCTCAACCTGGGAAGGCTGTGACTTAGAAGTAGGTGCTAAGCATCCACAGTGGCTGCATGTTTATCTCTATGGAGTCTCCCAGAGCCTCCGAGCAGCATCTTGACCATTGACCAGAGCAGGTGTTTCTCAGCCTTGGCTGTGCATGAGCCATGAGGAGCCTCTCCAGCTCCAGATCAGTCACACCCGGGGTCTCTGGAGACGGACCCTCATGACAGTGGTTTCAGGTGCTGCCCAGTGATGCTCAGATAGGGCTGAGGTCGCGAGTGGCTGGAGTAACAGGAAGTTGTGCAGAGCAAGTGTCACTGCTGTCACGTATTAGCCAGGAGTGGGTGCTGTCATGAGCGTGGAAACGGTACCTGTACTGTTCTTTTAGACCCCAAGTGACCCCTCTGAAGCCCTCTGCTGTGGTCCCTGGCAAGGAGCTGAAACATTTGCAAAATCCAGCTTGACCACTTTTCTGTTAGTAACCATGGACTGAGTCACCATAGAAATCCATAGTGCCAAGAATGGGCACCCCTGAACCATCCCTTGGGAAGTGAATACCTTGTGAAGATGGGGGATGCTGGGATCCCAGGCACACACCCCAGCAGCAGAGAGAAACATGGAAAACATTTGTCTGCTCACCCCAGGAATGTCAAGCAGGCAGGTGTCATTGCCCAGTGATGTCCAGGTGAATACAGCACCTGCGTATCTGTGGAACACAACGGGTGGGGGAGTAGGTCTCAGTGTCTCTAGGAAGAGGCAGGAAACACAAATGCCAAAGGTGATTTTCTCGAAGATTAAAATATGGAGCAGGGTGAAACATACCCACACTATTAGCAGCCTGCATGGCTTGACTGGGAGGGACTGTGGAAAGAACCCAGCTTTTGAGTCGGTTGGTCGCTTACCCAGCCTGTGGGTACGGGCTGGCCCAGGGTACAAGACTGGGGTATTTCGGAGGTCCATGCCTCAGCTGAGTTCTGGTGGCAGGGAAGTTAGGAAGCACACACACAGCTGATGCTGCCACTCCCTGTGGTGAACGATGGGGCTGGGCTATGCAGAAGGGCCTGCAGAGGGGCTGGGTGGGTTTTGTATTGAGTCCTATGGCCGGAGATGACAGATTCTGACTGGCATCTTTCTAACCTTCTGTGAAGCTTGGGCTTAACTTCTCTGAATTCTGCTGTCATCTGTAGAGACAACAACAGAGAATTAAAATCCTTCCATATGCAGTTGTCAGAGGGACTGACAGGCTCTAAGGCCAGGTGCAATGGCGGCTGTGGCTGTCACCGTCATCATTATGGTCAGGAACTCCTCACCTAAAGGGGACTCTCGGGCTCTACTCTCGGTTTTCTGCTTGAAAACTGTGTGTTTCCGAATCCACGTGCCCTGTGCTGTCACCCAGAAACAAAGGGTCCTGGTGAGGGTGCCACCCACCAGGTGCTAGCTCCCTGCCTGACCCTGGCATAGGTCATGATGACCTATGACCTCCCATGGCCTCTCAGGGACTGGCTTTCCAGGTGAAGAGGGGAAGGCTGGGGAGGGGGCATTGCTAAAAGTGCATCAGAAGGCGAGCCAGGCTGTGGGCTCTGTCCCATCACCCTGGAACTGCATTTTAACACTAGCCCCTGACTTAGGGATGGCACAGGGAGCTGGGGTTTGGGCCCTGGTTCGTTGCTGATTTGGTGTCGGCTCCCCAGCTGCTCCAGCGGTCCTTTGTGTGGCTTTCCTAACTGTTCCCTTCTTATCCTCCAGGGCCCTCATCTTTGTGTCCCATGGCGCTGGGGAGCACTGCGGCCGTTACGATGAGCTGGCTCAGATGCTGAAGGGGCTGGACATGATGGTATTCGCCCATGACCATGGTGAGTACCTCTAGCATGCCACAAAGGCTGGTAGAGAGGTCCCTGTCTACTCTGTCCTGTCCCCACCCCACCCCCGCCGTCTTCTTGTCTGATTCTGTTTTCTGGGTTAAAATTTACATGTGATATTATATGTGGGACGATGTGTGGCCAGCCATCACTGTCAAATCATTGTTTGCACACAGGCTTATTGGAAGCTTGGCTGAGAAACCAAAGCTGGGCCTGTTTCTCCAGGAGCCCATCTGGGCCAAGGAGTCCTGTTGTATGTCTATAAGGTGTTTTCTCTCAAAGTGGACACTTGGTTCTATCCCAAAGGACTTCAGGTGGATGCAGTAAGTCAGATTACGTCAAATTTTGATCTCATATGAACCAGCAGAGGTTTATAAAGTGCCTCAAGCTGAGCACACAGGAAACGTCTTGAGTGTGTTTGCACATGTGTGTGTACACACACATACACACGTATGCACATACACAGCACTGTTCAGATTAGGAGGAACAACTTATTTTGGCTCATGATTTCGGAAGTTTTCGTCCATCATGGTAGAACAGAACAGAGCAACTCAAAGCAGCCAAGAAGCAGAGAGAACAAGTCTGCACTCAGGACCTTTTTCCTCTCCTTCTAGTCTGTCAGGTTCTCAGCCTAGGGGATAGCAACACCCACATCCCAATGGTGTCTTCCCCACTTAGCTCATTCTCTACTGAAATGCCCTAGACACACCCAGAATTGTTCTCTAATAATCTCTCAGACATTTCTCAAGCCAGTCGAGTTGACTGAAGATTAGCGACCACAAATGGGTGTGCATGTGTAGCCGCATCTGCACAGTGCACACCTAACACCCACAGGGGTGTGGGAGTGTTGATGTGCAAGCACACATGGGGACACACATGTATGCACTCACATGCACATATGCACACACATGTGTGTAAAGGTTATGTGAATACAAGCAGACAGATATGCACAGATACCTCCAGGCTAAATAAATGGTTTTTTTCATGTGACAAAAAACCCTACTGCCAACAGTGCTGGGCTCGTTGCCCAAGTCAGTATGTGACTTCCAGTCCTTGTTGCACTAGGATTTGAACTAAGGTCTCAAATATGCTGGGCAAGCAAGCACTATATTACTGAGCTAGACCCTCAACCCAGTATGCAGTCCTTGAGTTATTTTTGTAGTGTTCTCTGAAGCTGGGCTCCCAGTGACAGCGTGGTCATTTCCCCACATCCCAGTGTAGTTCTCTGTCATTCTGCCCAGATTCAGAAAGGCCACTTTGTCTATCTGATATGAAAGTAGATAATTAAATGATGTCGTTGGAAGGAGGGACAGGGGAGTCGTGGCAGTGACTTGAGTGTCCTAGGAGAGAGAGCTGCAGCCACACACAGAGAAGCTCATGTGAGAAAAACAGCCTGCTAGGTGATTTTTGTCCACAAAGATCTGTGAATTTGATTTGCCAGGAGCTCCTTTTAAGCTAGATGTATGCACATGTCCCAGTAATTGGGATTATTAACTAAATTCTTCCCTATTACAGCTGCCATGTTCTCTGCTGCTCTTCAGTCAGCCCTGGTTATATTGGTGAGCCTGTTGTTTGGGAGATAATATTCCAGGGTTATCCCCAAGGCTTTTGCGATGGGGACTCTGTCATTATTAAGCCCAATACGCTGCTCACTAAAAAATCCCAAGACAGGAATGCTTTGTCCTGCTGCATTCGTCTCCATTAAAATCAGTTGTGGCTGTCGTTATGTGCTGGGGACATCTTGAGAGAATTGTTGCACTGAGCACCCTGAATCTCTGGCATCTGTCTTGGAGCTCAGCAGCAGCCCGCTTATCAGATAAACTAGGCCAAATGAAGTCAATGTGAGGCTTTGTTTATATTGCCTGACTGCGGTGCTTAGAAAAACGATTTTTAAAGGATTCTTTTTTTTCTTTTTCTTTTCTTTCTTTCTTTTTTTCTTTTTCTTTCTTTCTTTTTTTTTTTTTTTTTTTTTTGAGTTCAGGGAGAAAAGAAGCAGCTTTTGATGTTACCAGAAAAAAAAAAAAATCTGGAGCTGAGGCAGAGCTGTCTATAATGTTCTAAATGGAGGGCGGGGATGGCTGGGTTCACCTGTTCCAAGTTCCCAGAATTACACATTGAAAATACCTCTGCACGTGTCAGCGGGAACCCAACTGAGCATGTGTATATGTGCACATGCATTTGCTTTCTCTCCAGACAAGGGCACGGCCCCACACACAGCGGGTCCAAGTCCCACAAGCCATCTAACGTGGACCTGTTTGAGCCATCCCCATCCTTCACTTCTCTCACCTTCCATGCGGGCCATGATGCTGTCAGATTGCTGAGATAACGTAGAGGAAGGGCCTAGTGGGGGTCAGGGGGATCCGCCCCTCCAGGACTCTTGAAGATGCAGGGTAGACCAGCTGCTGTGCTGTGTCCTCAAATGGTCATGTCCCCAAGACTCTGAACAGGAACAGCTCAGCTAGGGATGGGAGGTTCTTATCCAGGCATTGCTGCCTTCAGCTGGGTTGTCTCGGACCTGCAGAGGCCATGGGGCGATAAAGGGAAGCCATAGACAGGAGACATTCAGTGTAGCAGCTGGACAGACAACCCACAGCAGCTTCAATGCTGCCATCCACAGAGCTCGTTCCAGAAGTGCCAGCGTCTGTAATCCTGATGCCATGTGATGCCATAGTTCTCTCTGCTCAGCCACCTGCTGACTTCTCATTAGGTACACCCCCCGGGGCTGTACTGGAGCTATCTATCTGTCCATTTTTCTCAGCTTGCCTGCAGACAGAAATTTAGCTGTGCTTTCTATTTTATCTGCTGGAGTTTTCCAGAACGACCTCATGGGTTTGGACAGATTACTGGAAGGGAAACCATGATGCTGTCTGTCACTGATGCCTGCCAGCCCCTCTCGAGGCACTTTTCCTATGTTACTGCAAATTCCTTCTAAAGATGGAGGTTACTATTTCTATCTCATAGGTGGGAAATCTAAGGTAGGATAACCCAGGACGATATTCCCTTTGCACTGGGACCATATATGGGTTCACTGTGTGAGACAGAAATCCCACAGCAGCCTAAAGAAGTCTGGTTTCTCTCATACCACTGTGACAGGCAGGGCAAAAATGGCAAGGTACTCTCAATGACCCAGACTTTGTCCAGAGATTTGTCCCACAGATGTTACATGTCTATAATGTTCACCCCTATGGACCCTGCTTCAGTACTAAATAGGATGAGGGAGGGGCTACGTTCAGACCTTTCTGAGAGATCTGAAACAGGTCCTGCCTGATCCCACCAGCCAGAAATGCTTCCATGGTGCTAGCTAGCTGCAAGGGAGGCAAGAAAATAAAATTCTCAACTGCTAATCCAATCAGGGATCCTGAGAAAGAAGGAGGGAGAGAATAGTCATGGCTGGCGTCCTCTGTACCACACCACATTTATGGGCATTTCCTCTGTGGGTATATTCTGGATACGCTACTAAGTCACAAGGCCGTCTCTCATGCCATCCTTTGCCATAAGTCTGAGGTGACAGCTATTACAAGCATCGACAGTAATATGGTCTCAAGCTCCTAACTGCACATTTACTCTGAGTGGGGTGTTGTGTAAAGAGGGGTACACTGGCACAGTAATTTATAGCCCAGCCAGCCCCTTAGTCCAGCAGCCCTACTCCAAAAGTGTGTGTGTGTGGTGCTTGTCGCGCTAGGAGAGATGGCTTCCCTCAGTTGAGCCAAGCTCATTTTCAAGTTTCATTGTCCTGTTCATTAGCCCCTCTCTCAGCCACAGAATCTCCCAATCATCTACACATAGCCCGGGCACTAGAACCATCACCGTGTTTGTTGAATGGCTAGAAGAATTTGTAACACACATTAAATGAGACAGAAGTGTTTCAGATCTGAGTTGTAGAACTTCCACATTGAGTCTCCGCAGGAGTGGATCACCGTCAGGACCTGTCGCTGTGGAGTGGGTCTGGTGGCTCCAGAGCTCCTGAGTTTGGTGGCTTGGGGCCAGGGGAGCTTGTGAATGAGGCGAGTGTATGTCCTGAACAGGGGAGCCACAGACCTTATATTTGGATGCCAAGGCAATGATCAGTGTCTCTGAGGTATACAGATAGCCCCTAGTTAAGAAAACGCCCTGCAGACCTGCCTACAGCCAGATCTTATGGAGGCATTTTCTTAACTGAGGTTCCCTTCTCTCAGATGACTATAGACTGTGTCAAGTTGACATAAAATTGGCCAGCAAATCAAAATAACTCTGAGATTCCTTCATCTTACACCTGGCCAGATCAAAAACACTGATGACAATTTATGCTGGAGAGGTTGTGGGGAAAAGGGAACACTTCCGCATTGCTGGTGGGAATGCAAGCAGGTACAACCCCTTTGGATGTCAGTGTGGTGATTTCTCAGAAAATTGGGAAACAACCTTCCTCAAGACCCAGTAATACCACTTTTGAGTATATATCCAAAGGATGCTCAACCGTGCCACAAGGACATGTGCTCAACTATGTTTGTAGCAGCTTTGTTTGTCATAGCCAGAACCTGGAAACAACCTAAATGCCCCTTGACCAAAGAATGGATAAGGAAAATGGGGTATATCTACATAATGGAGTACTACACAGCAGAAAAAAATGACATCTTGAATTTTGCAGGAAAATGGATAGAGCTAGAAACATTTTTTTTTTGAGTGGGGTAACCCAGACACAGAAAGACAATTATCACATGTACTCACTCATAGGTGGTTTTTAAACATAAAAGCAAAGAAAACCAGACTACAAACCACAATCCCAGAGAACTTAGACAACAATGAGGACACTAAGAGAGACTTACATAGATCTAATCTACATGGGAAGTAGAAAAAGACAAGATCTCCTGAGTAAATTGGGACCATGGGGACCTGGGGGGGGGGTTAAAAGGGGAGGGGAGAGACAGGGAGGGGAGCAGAGAAAAATGTAGAGCTCAATAAAAAATTAATTTTAAAAAATTGGCCAGCAGAGTAGGACACTGGCCACAGGGAATCCT